GGCGTGTTGGGCGATCCCGGGCCGCGCAGTCTATCCTCTTAAGCTGGCAAGCGATGGCATTGATTAAAGCATTAGTCGCCGTGCTGCTGGCTTGTCGTAACTAAGTTCTGCAGCGCTCCGCTGCGCTGCGCCGCGCTCTCTCAGTCGGCGTGGCGATTGTCGACAAAGCGCGTGGGCGCACGCCTAGAGCTAGCTGTCACTCGGCGCTATTGCTAGGAGGAGATTCCGGCCGAGAAAAACAAAAAAAAAAAAAGACAAAAAGAAAAAAAAAAAAAAAAAAAAAAAAAAAATAAAAAAAAAAAAGTAAAAAAAAAAAAAAAAAAAAAAAAGAAAAAGAAAAAAAAAAAAAGAACAAAAAAAAAAAAAAAGAAAAAAAAAACAGTTAAGCTAGCTTAAAGCGCAGGTCGAGCGAAAGGTTTGCGAGTCCGCGATGCGGATGATTACACGTGTGTTGCAGCCGCGCGCTATTCTGGCTCCTTTTAGATATCGGATGAAATTATTGCTTTGGGCGAAGAAGCGCGGCGGACGCATACGGCTCAGCAAGCGCAGGAGTTCTCTGCTCTCTCTCTCTCTGCTGCTCTCTCCTGCGTTTCTCGTCTCGTCTCTCTCTCTTTTGTCTCTCGCTCAGCATTGGCTGTTTCTCCTTGCTCCAGTCCATCTCTCTCTCTTTGTCTCCTTCAGCAGGTCGCTTGCGGAGGGTGTTTCTCTGTCTGCTTGTCTCTGCTCTCTCGTCTCTCTCTCTCTCTCTCTGCTCTCTTGCTCTCTTTGTCTCTCGCTCACTTTGCTGTTTTTCTCTGGATCTCGTCTCCTCTTCCGGTCTCTCTCTTCTCTCTTTCTCTCGTCTCTCTTCGTCTCTCGCTCGCGTCGCTTGGCCTCTCTGCTTGCCTCTATATGCTCTTCGCTCCGAATGCTCGTTGCTGTCTTCCGGCGCTCTCGCCTCTCCCCTCGTTCTCGTCTTCTCTCTCTCTCTCTCTCTCTCTCTCTAATATATAGTATTATATATTATATTATATATATTTATATATATATATATATATATATATATATATATTTATATATATATATATATATCTCTCTTCTGCTCTTCTCATCTCTCTCTCTCCTCTCTCTCTCTGCTCTCTCTCTCTCAATCTCTCATCTCCTCTACATCTCCTCGTCTCTCGATGCTCTCTTCGTTTCTGTCGCGGGCAGCTCTCCGTTTCCCCCCTCCCTCGCTCTCATCTCTTCTCTTTATTTCTTTCTCTCTCTCTCTCTTCTCCGTTCTTCTCTCGTCTCTCATCTCGGAGAGCGTGGAATAGGCCGCGGGATATGAAGGAGTAGTGTGGGGCGCGTGAAAAGGCCTATTGCTGTATTAGGCAGCGATGTAACGATAGTGTGTGCGGAAGGGAAGTGAAAGAATGCGTCCGCACGCCCCCTAATCTCAGCCTCCAATCAGCTCGCGGCGCATATTCGCACCGAACGCGCCAATGTATACACGTCCGAGGCACACAGGTCGACCTCACGACATAATAAACGACAGCTCGTAAGCCACCGTGACAGCTCGTCTATCGTTTCTCTTTGCGAATGCCGCAAGCATGCCGCCGCAACTGCGTCGCGCGAGAGCGCAATCGTACTTTACTGCTTCAATCGCTGTATGCATCGAAGAGGATATTATACTCGTAGATGACACATTCACACTACTACTAGTACTAGTAGCCACTGCGGCGCTGCTGCTGGCGCGCTGCGCGCTGCTGCTGCTGCTTGGGCGGCTGCGCTGCTGCTGCTGGCTGCTGCTGCTACTACTACTACTGGCTAGCTACTCCTGCTGTGCCTGCGCTGCCTGGCTACTACTACTACTGCTACTACTCCCGGGGGCTAGCTGCGCTGCTGCTGCTGCTGCTGTGCTGCTGCTGGCTTGCGCTACTACTACTTGGCTACTACTGCCTCTGCTGCGCTGTTGTGCTGATGATGATGCAGGATAATGATAATATTACTGTTGTTTGTTTGCATCTGGTGCTGCCTGCTGCTGCTACCTACTAATTCCTGCTGCTGCGCTGCTGCTATGATGATGATGATGGAGGATAATGAGTAATGATACTGTTGTTGTTTCATCTGGTGCTGGCTGCTGCTGGCTACTATACCTAATCTGCTGCTGGGCTGCTGCTGCTGGATGCTGATGCGGATGATGATGATTAATAATGATACTTGCTGTGTTTCATGCTGCTGCTGCTGCTGCTGCTGCAAGTTGGGCTATTACTACTGCTGCCGCTACTATCTCCTGTGCTAGCTGCTACTTCACTACTGCTGCTACTGCTGTCGTTGGCCCTTGCTGCTGCTGCTGCGTTCGCGACTGATTACAGACAATGTTCAGCTCTAACCTATACGGCAGCGTCTTCCATCAAGCGCGCGAATTAGATTCGTATAGTAATATCCGCCGGCATCCTCACTGCATACTTCCTCGCCGGCCGAAATTTGAAGTCGACATCGCGGGCAGCTTGCAGCAATAATCCACGGTGGCGACGCGATGCTGCAAGCGAATGATAGGGTGGAGCGCGAGTGGCAGGTTAGCATGATCGGATGCAGCCGCTCGTAAAGAGAGGAGAGAAAGAGAGAGAGAGGGAGAGAGAGAGAGAAGAGAGAGAGAGACAGAGAAGATGAGAGAGAGAGAGAGAGAGAGGATAGAGAGAGAAGA